TGTAAAATAAATCTGCCTCCAAATCCTGGGTGTCATTTCTGTGTTTCTCTTGCCATAGTAGTTTAATTCCTCTTTTACCCATTGTCACATAGTATGCTTCTGAAGCAAAACAGAACAAACCTGCCTTTTGTAACCAACTAGCCTTTCAAAGATATTACAATAGTTATTGTGCCTGTCATATTTTCTTTTTACCAAGCTAAACTTTTGCAGTGCTCCTAGCAAGATTTTTTTAAGGCCTCTTAACATCTGGCACATTTTACTCTAATCTGTGATCATCTCTTCTGAAACTCCATATTGGAAAATTAAATTAAACCTGGCACAAGATGTGTGGAAACTTTTTGATTGTGGGGTGTAATGTGAGATTTTGTTAGAAACTATATTACACCATTGGCTACTACCTTTAAAACATTACAAAATCAATTTTTTCTCTAAGATGTGATATCTCACTCACAGCTGAATACTTTATTTCCATTTTCATTTAACATTATATGCTTTTAAATCATTAAATTATAGGCTAGCAGAGGAATCTATTGTGAAGGAGCTGATTGCTATTGCTGGTCAGGAAATGGTTCTTTTGTTGGCAAGCCTAAAAGGTCACAAGAGGGCTTTTATGAATGCAAACTGAAGGACATGCCCCTTACAGTGAACGTTTTATGTTAGAAAGAGGGAAGAAAGAAAAGATGTGGACAGCAACTCCCCATACTGAAGGAAAAATAATGAGCCATGAAAAGAGGCAAATCACATAAAATTGCATTTGTTGTGTTAATTAAGTTACATTCTGCACCAAAGATTGAATAAAAAGGAAAAGCACGTCATTTCTTTTTTTAACTTGACATACAGTAATTGTACACATTTGTCAAGCACAGTGTGATAACTTGATATATGTATGCAATGTGTAATGATCAAATCAGAAAAATTAGCATCCAACTATTTCTGCTACCATCTGATTTAACGGTGGAGGACAGCTCAGTCTCCTCTCCACTAGGTAGAGATTCTGGCTTTGTAATAAAGCTTCAGACAATGGCCCACACAGTCCCGCAGACTTACCATAAGAACTGCTTTCTAATTAATAAAAAATCAAAATATTCTCATTCCTGTTTTCTATTTCTCCTTATTAAACATCTCAACCACAACTAGTGAAACTAGATAAAAGGACAAAGACTCTTCTTCAAAGAAGGGTATCTACGTGGCATGAAAATTAAAATGATTGTTACTTGTTGGTAGGATATTGTGGACATTCTGATACAGGAGAAATATAACTCCCACCATGTTAGATGTCAAATGTGCTGAGTTCATGCCCCACAACAACAAGGAATGAAGTTATGAACCAAACGAAGAGGTTAGGAGAGTTTTTATTGGAAATAAGGAGAGAAAAATACCTCCTGAATTTCCAGCAGATGTCTTGCCTGGGGTGGTCACTGTGAGTACAAGGGTCAAACTACAATGAACCTATAAAATTACAAGCACAGCTGCTTAGCCAATGTTGATCCAAGAGGGAAATGAGACACATAGCAAGGGTATACGGAAAGAACAAAGGCATTTCTGGGGAAAGGATGGGTCCAGATGCACTGGTCACCCACCTGGGTGACTGATGCCTATCTGGATTTACCGGACCAGGCGGTGCTAATTACAATATAATCTCAAGTAATTGATTATAAGCAATAACTTGAGAGTATACTATAATTGGTATCCTCTGGTCCAATAAAGCCTAGATGGACACCAGTCACCCACGTGGGTGAGCAGAACCTCCAGACCCATCTCTTCCTAAAAATGACTTTGTTCTTTCCATGAACCCTTGCTACCCAATCTGTTCCCTATTGGATTAATATTACCTAAGCAGACACCGTATTTGTAATCTTATCTGATGATCCACACTGTACCTGCTTTGATTCTGCTCTACAGAACATTCTTAGAGAAATGGGTTTTGTGGTAGCCCACTTTCAGGTCCCTTCCTTTCTCTCAGAAGCTCTCTCTCAATTTTTCGTACTCTTAACCTCCACTGGTCTTTAGAATTCATTCTTCGATTTCAGGGAACACGAACTGGGCATAGCTGACATCTAGCAGGTTGGGAGTTACACTTTTCCCCCTATATCAGTATGAATTCCCTTAGGTTATTATTGGGGGAAATACTTTTGCCCTGTCCCCACACATACGCAAAACCATGCTTTAGCTCTTCAAACAAGGTATATTTGAAGTTTGAGAAAAACTTGTATAATGAATAATTTCAAGAAGTAAAACTAATAGCATACATTATTTGGCAAGGATAGTGAACGTTAAGTTTATGTTCTATATTCACTCTGGGAATTCTCCAGCCACCTTGGTAACCAGCATCATCTCTTTGTCATACTATCCCCTCCCAAATATCAGTCACTTTCCCCTAGTTTGGTCACCTCTACTCCCTTCTGGCACTAATTTTTCTGGCTGTGTACATATACCTTGGCCCATTACATGAAATTTCCTGTGTCTCTGTGGTCCCTATATATTTAAACACATTTGTAGCTACACTTCTGAAGTCATAGATTTCAACCCAATGACACATTAAAATCATTTGGAGAGCTTTTTAAAATTGCTCAGCCACAGCCTCACCCTGAGAGATTAATTTAATTGAAGGTCCTAGTACCAGTAATTCTTAAGTTTTTCAGGTGACTGTAACCTATAGATAAGGTTAGGAATTATGTTCTAATGCCCCAGCACACCTAGAAGATGTGATGCACATTGTTAATAGGTTTTCATCACTGCAGCTATTTTTAAAAATTTTATTAGTACATATTTGCTGTTCATGCAGTTTACAATTATCTTAGGGAACGGTTACACGTACATACCACAACTTGTGTCCTTTTTAATTCTCTTTTCCTTCCCCCTCCCTGTCTCCCTCCCTTCTCCTCCAGTTCCTCTATCTCATTTTTTATTCTTGTTGATATTACTAATCCTAGCTCATGTTATGGCATATAATATTTACAATAATTGAGGTTACTAGGTTTGTAAACATGGCATATCTTTATTTATTTCCCCTTCCCTAGCATGTACGAGGCCCTTGGTTTAATCCCTGGGACCACACACACAAATGAAAAGTCAAAATTGGTTATCTATTGGAAACTCTGATAGTTTATTGGATCTACTCAACTATAAATTAGAGAATTCAAATATTAAAAGACTAGCTGTTTTCGTACAAAGCAGGTAGTGCTATATCGAGGAAAGTTATCAGCCCTACACAAAGAACATCCCAGTGTGTATGTGCACAGGGGTTGAGGTAGGACGGTGTGTAAGCAGCTTTTAGCTGGTGGTTTCAGCTTTCCATTCCCTACAACACTGACTTTCCTCTCTCCCATCATTTCAGCATAAAAATTCTTACCAACTTGAGTTACACCCTGTCTCAATTTCACTGCGTAACTTTTTACTCCTACCTTGACTTCTCAGCCGCATGTCACTATCGATTGCTCCTTCCCTGAAAAATTCTTTGCTTGCCTCTCCTAATACAGGTTCTTAGTTTTCCCCAAGCACCAGTAGTCTTCCAAGGTCCTAAATTCAGAGCTGTAACTCAGTACTAGCAGTTATAAATCACCAAGTTAACTGGGCATACACTGTTGGTGTTTTTAGCTTCCCAACATGAGTCGTGATTCATCTGAAACATGTTACAAACTCTCTCCATCTCCCTTCAAGAAGTGGAGCTTAATTTTCCTCTTCTTGTGAGTTGGACCTAAGAGACATTTCTAGTACACGGTGGTGTACGTAAAAGTGAGATTAGAACACACAAAGCACTATGGCTTTCCCGTTGTTCGCTTGGCTCACAGGTTGGGATGAGCCAGCTGTCATGTTACAGGGCACTTAAGCAGTCTGGCAGGTAGGCTGTCATGGTGAGAAACTGGAAGCCATCTTAGAAGGTTCTCCAAGCTCCAGGACCAGGCTCCTAAACAGCTCCCAAAGTTTGACCCACAGAAACCGAGATAACAAATGTTCAAAAATCACTAAGTTTTGATATCATCTGTTACGTAAAAATAGATAATTAAAACACTAGAATAACCTACGGTGTATATTCTCTCTGAAATACCAAGTGTTATTTTAAATTTTAACTTGACCCCGAAGATACAAATGCCAAAGTTTTCTGAGCTAATCAGTGGAGGGCATTCTTCAGAATTAACTTTTTAAAATATTTTATATTTTAAATGCTTATTAGTACATGTTTGCAGTACAGAATGATCACATTCATCATGGGGAGTTGGTACATATATATAACACAGCTTAATTCTTTTTATTCTCCTTCCCTTCCCTCAATTTTTAAAAATTAAATGCTTAAAGATCAGTTGTAATTATAACTTTATCACAATTTTAAATGGTTTATGGCACACAGCATTCAACATTTCATTCTCTACAATATATTTCAACTATCAAATAGATATTTGGCTTAAATATTTTATGTTTTTTACATATAAATAATCTCATGTATTCCTTCTCTCTCTCTCCCCTCCCCCTTCCTTTCTTCCCCAGCTAAATAATTCCAGCAGTAAGGAAACAGGTATACTATCACTTGACCAAATTCATATAGCTAATAAGTAGTAGAGTCAAGACTCAAACTATATAGTTTCAAATAACTATGCTATTCTATTTCTCAGAGCATATTCATCTGATACACTTTAAGAATATTAAAATAGGGAGAAGGTCTTAAATTCATCTGTATGGTTAGATGGTCTACTGCTTGGCTTATACTACCATCCATAGTACTTATTAAATATCAGCACTATCTTATGTATTGAACAAAAAGTGTATCTGTATATGTACACATTACACAACGTTTTCTTTAAAGGTTGGACCAGATAGCAGACACAAACTGCAAGATTCCAATAAATTCTCTACAGGTAGTTTTAGGTATCAACTGTTACACCGATGAATATAATCTACAAACTAGTTCCTTAGGCCTATCTTCTAAAATGATGAACACATCTTCTGGTGTGTAAGGGAAAAATAAAATAAAATAAAATAAAACCCAAAACGAAACAAAAAAATCACATTGGTAAATTTTTATTAACTTACATTGACATTTTCAATTTTGTCTTCCAAGTCCTTATTAACTTAATATAAACCTATAGGTGTTTCTTAATACCACAGAATCATGAAGACTTGCAGTTATCAGGGTTGTACAATGATTAAAACAACACTCATTCAAACAATTAGCAAGTTACTTCACTTAAAAAGAACATTCTGAGGAGTGTTTGAAAAGTGCTGTCTATAAATAGTGACGGATACATTTATTAGGTATTTGGTACTGAGGATAAACACTTCTTATATAAAACATTGTTTTAATACACTGCTCTACTAATGAGACTAGTTATTAGATATAATATATTTTAATACTAAAGAATAAAGCTTTATCTTCATATTTATTTTATTTATAGGAATCTTATCAATGAAGAACTTTGTATCCAACAATAAAAAACAGGGATATTGTAAGTGACATTGCAGGAGAAGCAAAAAAGATGGACGCAAATAAGAAACTAGATGCCTGCAGTATACGTTCTTTATACAGATGGTTCTGAATAACAGAATTAAATGCAGACCAAACGCTTTTAAAGGTCTGTGTACCTATATGACAAAATCTCCACACACTAAAAAGAAAAAGAACAATACAGAACACAGTATTTTCAAAGATTACAGCACATTTAACACCTTCAGCCATCCACTGGGTTCTCAGATCAGATTGGCAACTGAAATTTCACATCTACATGGGCTTGCTTGGCTAAGGTCACTATTTCAGAGAGCTTTACAACCTGAAAGGAAAGAATAGTGTCATTCAGTCTCTATTTCAATGCAAAGCTAAATTCAGAACTATAGATCAATGTAAAAGTAAAGCCCAATTTTTTCCATTTCAAACTTCAAGACTACTCTGACACTGTTATAAATCAAATTCCATTCTTACAAGGAACTAATATAGTACTCTCAAAGGATAGTGAAGGCTGATATTCTTCATAACCTAAACTTCATTTAAACACTTTCTGTTAAAGATATAGATGAATAGGTATATATCTATCTTATCTAAGTTTTACTTACCTTAAACACAAAACCAGAGTGTCTTTGTTAGATATACCACAATTCAGAGCACATTTAAATGAAAGCTTATTTTGAAAAATTACACAACCTTAACTTCTAATAGTGGGACTAGAGTCTGGGTACAGTAATTAGTATTTTACCTTCTATCACTGAGTTAACAAGTGCTAATCAAAATTCCACTTCCTTCTATGATCTGAGAGTATCTATCTGCTTCTATGCAAAACATAATTAGACAGGTCTGAAAGAAAACAAACAAATAACAACAAAACAAATTCAGCTTCACTATTTCCCAGTAGAGCAGTTACAAAAAAGTGATTTGGGCTGGAGCTATACAACAATGGTAGAGTGTCTGCTCGCCCACCATGTGTGAAGCCTCAGGCATGGCACCCTCAGTACAAAAAGGGGAGATGGGGTTGAAATTAGGCTTCTCGGATTCAAACCACCAATCTCATGCTAATATATATGACTTTGAAAAAATTAATTTCCTCATACATAAAATAGAAAATGTTGTCAACATATTAAATGAGAGAATTCCTAAAGAAAACCTTAATATACACATGTAAATACTCAAAAAGTGGCAGCAACTGCTAATATCATATTTAATATTTTTACTGTCATAATATCTGTTATGGTTTGCGGCTGCATGTCCCCCCACAGCCTCATGCAATCATGGGGCAGGCTTTTAGAATTTATGATTCACTCATAGTCCAATGTTGGAATTATAGGTGTGAGTGCTACACCCACCCTGGGCCAGGTAGTTTGCATACAATGCAAGGGAGAGAAAGAGGCTGCTTGCCACCACTCCTCCCACTGAACAACAATGTTCTCGCTGCTTTTGCTATCTTCTGCCACCATGAACGGTTGCCCTCTGCCATGTGCCACCCTGCCTTGGAGCCAGCCGAGTATAGAATGAAACCTCCACAAACTGTAAGCTTCCTTAATTTTGGGTATCAGGTATTTTGTTCCAGCAACCACAGAAATGTAACCAAGACAATATCCATAAGTAAAAAAAGTTCTAGTCAGTGTTTCTTCTATAAGTAACAAAAACAAAAAGTTTCCAGTCAGTAAAAGTCACTGCAACTGCAATTTAAATCAATCACTCACTTTTATTTCATGGTCTATTTGATCAAGATCCTACCAATTCTTCTCCTTTCTTTTTATGGACACCAAGCTTTTCAAAATGTAGGCTTTCATTGTAATCAAGTATTATTTTCAGAGGTGAATTACAACCTACTCATTACCTTTGCCTCACCTCATATCTAATTATTATACTAAACTCCTACTATCCACATCTCATCTCCAACTTATGCCACATCTCAAAGTCAAAACAGGCTTTCTGAAACACTTTCTGGCTACCATTCTCTTGCCCAAAATCCTTAATTTTAAATCTTTAATTTTCAGTATAAATTCTACTTTTATTTTGCTAATAAGTATTTTCTCAAAGAATGACCTAAGACTACTATTATTCTTGTGAAAAACCACACTAATTCAACAAATCTCAAGGGAATATAACAAATCACAGAGTCCCAAAGAGTATTCACTAAAATATCTACAAAAGCAGAAGAAAATCAAAAGCTGTCATCTACAAGCATTTCTGTACCTACTATGAAGTGTTCTTTAGATATGTTAAAGAAAAAGAAAGTAAAGTACAGGAGGGTTTCTCACACATGCACAAGCACACACGTAAAATTTGATCATATTTAAAAATAAATAGAAAGATAAACCAAAAACTACTTTTAAAAAAATGATTACTGTGGGAAAGAAGAACCAACAAAGAATACAAAAGCTAGATTCTCTGAATATATCACTTTATAATACAGACTTTGGATTCATGTAATATAAAACAAAAGATTTTATAAAAAAGCAACACTTAAAAAATAAAACTATATTAACCTGTGGTAAAACACAAGAACTATTTTACATGAATTTTAAAATCCATTATTTCACTATTATTTCACAATAATTACATATAAGAAAGCATATCAGAAGGTATGTCAGAAGGACTCAATCAACTTGAGTCTTCCTATTGACGGAAGACAGACAATGGGAATCGGTAACAATAACTGAAATGAACCAAACCACATCCAATACGTTTACTCCGTAAGTTCAAAACTATACCAGTGGAGTGGACACACACATACGCACGTGTGCACACACATATGGCTGAATATAAACACAAAGAAGCAAAACACAAAAAATAAAAACAAAAACTTGTTACCTTTATAGGACAAATGGAGCAAACTTATTTTGAAAACCAATCATTAAAGCTAACAATATGGTAATTATCCTGCTTTTCCTATACAAAATGTACTTCATGCAATAAACAGGTGATACAGAGTGGTTATGTGCTTTAGATACATTATAAAAGAATGACAGAAATAGAATTTCTTTACTTTGGAACTATAAGTGAAATACTGGATCTAAGCTATGATCATTAACAGCTGCTATCTCTAAAAGATAATCTGACATTATGTACCTCTTTATTAGGCAACACCAACTATGAAGTATTGTTCTCAAATTCAATCTTGCTCCCCTAAATCTAGTATGAATATATTCATTACTACAGACTGAACTGCTGGCTTACAGGATGTAGAGAGGGCACAGGAACACACTAAATGAATGACAACCAAAGCTACAAACATTCAAATCAAGACTATGGGCAATTAGCTCATCTGTGGTTTTTGACCCCTCCTCAAAACCTGTAATAGTAATTATCTTTTATATACACACAATAAAGTGTATCATACATCTGGGATTTACTTCAAAATAATCTTGGAAGAGGAAATAGGTAAGAATACAGATGAGATCAGTCTGGGCATGAGTTGACCACTGTTTAAGATGGATCACAGGTATAAGATGTTCTATGTAATATAACAACCACTGTTAATTCCTATCATTTTATTTTGAAACCCTGTATCATTTTTATAGTTTTTGTATTGTTTTGTTTTTGCTATGTTATTTTTTCTATTCTCTTTAAAATAAATATTTTTTAAAAAAAGATATTCTCAAAGGGATTCTCTTCAGCAAACTTGGACTTCTGGATGCCCATGTCTAACTCTGCATTGCCTAAATTTAACAAAAGTCTTGCTTAGCCCATTTTAGCCAAGAATTATTCCTTATTCATGATGTTTCTTCTTAGTAATTTTCCATCAACTCACTCCCATCTACTGACTCCTTGTCTATCAATTCCCACTATTCCTTGTTATACTCAGAGTTGAGTACAACCCTCTCCTACTGTATTGTTTTGTTTTGTTTTTTTTTTTGGTTTTGGTTTTTCTCTGGTACCGGGAACCGAACTCACGACCTTGCGCTTGCCAGGCAGGCGCTTTTGCCACTGAGCTAAATCCCCAGCCCCCCCTCTCCTACTGTAAAACCTCCTATCTCACCAGGCTCAATCTCACCTATTGCAATCATCCTCCTGAAGAGTTTGCCTTACCTTTTTTTAATAACTATGAATATTTTTAACAGTTCATTACTCTATATGTATAATACCATATTTAGGTAAAGCACTAATTATCAGCACATTATTTAATTTGCTGGTTCACATTAGAGTCTAAGGTTTTATAAATTCTTTATATGCTATAAATTTGTCCTTAGATTAGCACAGTTCATTTACCATTCTAGCAGCTTCATCCAAGTCATCACAAGCAAGAATTTTAAGCCCACTGTCTGCTATCAGTGCCTTGGCATCATCAACTCGTGTACCTAGAAATGATTTAAGAAAATATGACTATTTTATATATATACATAAAAAGTACTTAAAATCTTTGCCACAACATGGTACTAATATGACACTTCAACATAGGAGTACTTCTATCATTTAACATTAACACTTCTGAACTAAAAAAAAATACTACAAAGCCTGACATTACCTTGTAAAATATTTCACCTTACCATTTCCATAAGTAAGGAATTCCATATAAATCATATAAATATATATAAATGAGTAAAAATTCCATATAAATCACAACAAATAAAAAAATGTATCATATCAAGCAGAACTATGGACATTCTTGCCCCAATTCTGTCACTTAAAAAAAAAACAAAAACACACTTTTAAAATTTCATATTACACAGAGGACTTCTGTAAGCAGCAGAGAAAGAGCCTGTCAGGAATTTGGGATCCAGACACTGGAATATAGACAGCAACACAGGGAAGAAAAGGAGGGAAGTGGGTCCTCTGAACCCAGGGAAAATGTGAAGGGAGAACTGAAGCCCACAGTAAGAGCGAAGAGAAACTTCAACAGAGGAGGAGGAGGTGGCAGGCAGAACCTTCTCCCTGAAACAGGACTCACTTCATGAGACAAGCGATTCAAGCTTGCTGACACAGGGTGACTGCTGGCAATTCCCAGAGGCCTCCAAGGAAAGACACAGTGGACTCCGTGGACTGACAGACTGGTGACTGGTGCAGATTCAGCCATTCAGTGGGAGAAGGTGATTGGCCAAGAGCCACCTTGGAGATGGGCCAACTGAGCTTGGAACTCAGAACAACTGCTGGTCCATCCAGCAGCTCCCATATGAATTCAAGCCCAGAAAAAGTATACTGGCTGGTGCAGGTTGAATGGCTCACAGCCAGAAATAAGCCCAAACATCAGGGGAAATAAAGGTGCAGCCTTGCTGAGATTATCCACTATGCCACCATAAAGCTACTGCCGCCTTGCTGAGATAAATCAACACAGATCTTGACTCTGTCTCCACAAATTGCCTATCAGTGACAGCAAAGATATACCTTAAAGTGCACTTTCTCTTTCTTTTTCTCTCCCATCCCCCCCTTTTCTTTTTTGTTTTTTAGGGGGCTAGGGTTTTTTACATTGTTTGATCTTGTTTTTATATAAATTTTATATGGTTTCTAGTTTTTGGTGGTTGTTCTGTTCTTCCTTTTATTTTTTCTCTCTTACCCTCATGTCTTTGCAACCAGTTTCCCAAAGTCTGCATGATCCTCCTTTGTCCTCCAGCCTTGCTTCTAATCTCTTTCTCCTGTTCTATTTCTCTATATTTTTTTTTTGCTAACTCCCTTTAAATTCTCTCACCTGAAGGTAAAATTGGCACATGGAGGGCTTATTTACTGCATACAATTTTCTGGTTTATTTTAGATTTTGTTATAAAACCATAAATCTAGTTCATGCAGGCAAACATGGCAAATTAATGGTTAACTCAGTTTGTCATTTTCCAAGCTGTGTTTGATGCTATTGCTGTTGCTGATTGTACAACTTTAGCCCAAGTGGCATAATTGTTCTAAGCAGCTGTTCTTCCTAGTAGACCAGGATAAAATTGCCTAAGAGTCACAGAAAATACTATGGGCAAGTGACAAGGAACTAGGGGCTGGGCCAACCAGGTAGCAACTTCTCCTCCCCAACAAATGGAAGAGGGGAGATCTTACAACAGACTCAAACCCCAAAAGCCAACTACATGTGAAAGATACCTCTCAGAAGTAGTCATTTCCTAAAGACACTAAAGCAAAAAAGCTACCCACCATAGGCAATTTACAAGCATCAACCCAAGAATTAAACTTTAAAAAAAAAAAAAAAACCAGGAAAATAAGAAGAAACTTAAACAAGAGGTAACTCCAGACATTCAGTTCACCAAAGGCAAACCCAGGGGGCAATGAGGTGGGACAATCCAAAAGCTACCCATTTGGCCTCTCTGAGGTGGTAACAACAAAGCAAATGAATTGAGGCTACAGGAAAAAATCAAATCAGAAATAATTTCACAGGCAACTACAGAGATGATGACCACAGTGAAAAATATACTTAGTGACTCTAAAGCAGATACAGATAGAAAATAGATGAGCTTAGGAAAATGACAGCAATCATGAATGCCCAACAAAGCAAATGAATGAGGCTAATGAATAGGAAAGCAATGGAATAGGAAATGAGCAAATGAATAGGAAAGAAATGCAATCCATAAAACAAATTAAAGTAGATACCTAGGAGATTAAAAATTCCATTGAAACTACCCACAGCAGAATAAACAGAGTATCAAATATATAAGACAGGCTTGCAGGTAGTGATCATGAAAGATTTATTAAAAATAGCAAGGGACTGTGAGAAATCAATCCAGCAGCTGCTATGTGATGAGATAGCACAAATGATATAAAAAACCTGGGGCAGAAACCTTCCTTGGCAGGGAAAAAACTTTGACACAGAGAGGTAAGGCATATAGAACTTTAATTAGCCATCATACAAAAAAGAAAAAAATCTACAGCAAGGCATATAATAGTCAAGAGTCCATAAATTCAACACAAAAACAGAATATTAAAAGATGTTAGAGAAAAGAAACAAATCACCTATAAAGGAAAACCCATCAGAATCACAGCTGATTTCTCAACACAAACCCTCGAAGTCAAAAAGAACTTGGAGTAAAGTATTTCAAGCCCTAAAAGAAAACAACTGCCAACCCAAATTGATGTACCCTGCAAAACTATGTTTCAAAATTGATGGAGTAATAAAGTATTTCCACGACAAAGGACACCTGAGGAAATTCATGAACACCAAGCCAGCTCTACAAAGTGTTCTCAAAGATATTCTAGAAAGAGATAACAGTATGCACAATTCAGCAGTGTACCTCAATACAAAGTCAATACTCAAAAATCAATAGCCTTGCTGTACACATATAACAAACTTGCTGAGAAAGAAATCAGGGAAACAAACCCTTTCACAATAGCATCCCAAATTATGAAATACCTAGGAATCAATCTAACCAAGGAAGTAAAAGACCTCTACATTGAACACTACAGTACTCTGAAAAAGGAGACTGAAGAGGGTATCAGAAAATGGAAAGATATCCCTTGCTGTTCAACAAGAAAAACCAATATAGAGATAACACCCATGTTTACAAAAGTGCTATACAGATTTAATGCAATTTTGATCAAAATTCCAATAGCATATCCCACAGAAAGCAATCCTAAACTTAATATGGAATCAGAAGAGACCAAGAAGAGTAAAGACAATTCTGGGCAACAAAGGCAAGGCAAGGGGCATCACATTCTCTAACTGGAAATTATAAATTACACTTCAAAGCTACTGTGATAAAAAGAGCTGGATACTGGCAAAAAAGACCCAATGATCAATGGAACACATTACAGGATGCAGAAACAACTTCAGACATACTTCACCACCTTATCCTTGACAAAGATGCTAAACACATTCCCTGGAAGAAAAGATAGTCTCTTTAATAAGTGGTGCTGGAAACACTGGCTCTGCACACACCAAACATTAAAATTAGCCTTATATTTTTCACTATGCATTAAACTAAATTTGAAATGGTTCAAAGATCTAAATATTAAAACAAACATTAAATCTACTAGAAGACTGAATAAGTACAACTCTTGAAGTCACTGATGTAGGTAAAGACTTTATGAACAAAATTCCATTCGCAAAACTATCACAAAAAATGAACAACTGAATCTCATCTTATTAAAAACCTTTTGCACAGCAAGAGGAACCACCAACAGAGTAAAGAGACAACCCACAGTGCGGGAAAAATGTTTTGCCAGCTAATCCTCAGATAAAAGACTACTGTCTAGAATATAAAGAACTCAAAAAAAATCAGATGCCCCAAATTTAAAGATCCAATCCAAAAATGGGCATCTGAAATGAACAGACATTTCTCTGATGAAGAAACGAACAGCAAATACATATATGGAAACAGGTTCAATATCACTAGTCATTTGAGAAATGAAAACAAAAACAACACTGAGATTCCATCTCATTCCAGAAAGAATGGCTACTATCAAGAAATCAACCAATAACAAATGCTGCTGGGGCTGTGGGGAAAAAGGAACCCTTCTCCACTGTTGGTTGGAGTATAGACTGTTGCAACTACTGTGGAAATCAGTGTGGATATTCCTCAAAAACTAGGACTAGAGGTTCCATTTGACCCAACTATTCCTGTTCTTGGTATCTTCCCAAAAGAATTTAAAACATTACACCACAGCAATATATGAACACCCATGTTTATAGCGGCACAGTTTGTAATAGCCAATCTTGGAAACAGCCCAAATGCCAATCAACTGGTGAATGGATAAAGATGTGTTTTTTTAACACAATGGAGAACTACTCCGCCATAAAAAAGGATAAGCTTGACACATTTCTAGCTAAATGGATGCACCTTGAGACCATACTCTTACGTGAAATAAATCGGACACACATGTAAATACCACATTGTTTCTCTGGTGTGAGAAAGCAAAGTGTAAAGGAGGGCCAAAATGTGTAACAGGTATTGTGAAATAGGGAGAAAATGTTCAAACTGGGAAGGAGACAAGGAAGGGGAGAAGAAAAGAAAGGAAAAAATTTTTTTAAAGGGAGAAAAGAACACAAAAATGGAAACAAAGCTTTTGTAAATGGGGAGTAGGGGAGGAGTTGAGTGGAGGGAAGGGGAATGGGAAAAAAAAGAATCAAGTTATATCATGTACAGGTACAAATTCTCTATGATGAATATGATCATTATATATACCCAAAATGTAGCAGTTAAATCACTAAAAAAAAGGAAAGTCAAATGGCCAACTAACACACAAAAAAATTTTATATTATACAATACTTTTACTTAAAAGACACCATCTATTTGTAAACTATGTCTTAAATGAGTTAAGCTCCTTGGACTTACGAACTTTTAAGCAATGAGAAACAGCTGCAAGATACCTTACCACTCACCTTGTAACCGTACCACAACAGGTATTTTAATTTCCAAGTCTTTCACTGCCATGACTATACCCTGTGCAATAACATCACATCGCATGATTCCTCCAAAAATGTTGACCAGAATAGCCAGTACCTGTCAATAAAGCATTTTTGGTAGATAAAATTTCAAAGGAATGAGTACTGTCCACCCACCTCCCAAATTAAGATGTCTCTTTTAAAAATTAATCTCATGGAAACATTTTCAGACCAAATAATCTGACCTTCTTCTACCTTAGTCCACTGTCCATCAGAACGAACTTCCATTTTCTAGGATAATGTCAATACCTTGTTCCTATTCACTTTTCTACTCTATCCATATGAACAAGACTTCCTAATTCTACTGACTTTTTCCTATTAAACACAGCCAATCATCAATAGTAAGATCTCAATTAGTGTTCACTATCTATCATCTCTTCATTTATCCCCATCAATGCAACCAATATTTGACATAAACCCTCCTCAGAATCACTCAACTACCATATGCTCATTCATAGGTACACTTTACCTCTTAACTTCAGGGCCTCTTGACCGTCACCATCAAACTGATAGTTCTGAGTCAGTGTTCCTTCTGTCCTTCCCCATCCCCTCAAAAAACTTTTTAAACGTAATCTTAGTTCATTCAGCTACATCACAGCTTTTCAAATAGTAAGATACAGAGACACTCTCAAATACTGTTTGCCCTCAACCCTCAGGGCAGTTAGGAAGCTTCTAGGACAGCTGGAGCCTTTGGGCCAATGATGTGGGACTATAAGCAACCTTCTCCATCTATGTCCTAGGCCCACTGAAACATTTTTTGTGAATGCCATGAGATGAAAATAGTTGAGACACAGTAAGCTATCCTACATATCTCTTTCCTTAACCGCTATTATTTCTGGACCTTCAATAAATGAAGCTGTAGCATTCATAGTGGACTCGAACACAATGTGGATCTTAACTCTTATCACTGTCCCCCTTCATTTCGGATAGCTTCAATATTCACCAAAATGTGTCATCCAATACTCTAGCCTTAAAGTTATTGGATCCTTACCAAGCTACGTTTACCCCAGTTCATTTTAATTGATTACTACCAAGGATAAATCTTAACACTTTACCAGTATGTCTCCAGAATATCAAGTTTGTAAATCTCACTTGGTTCAATTTCCTCCCCTTTTACGTTTAGTGCCTTTTACCTCTAACTCCATCAAACCCAATCTTTTAGAAAGCCTCTTAACAGTCCCTCCATCCTTTTCTAATATCTCAGTCTACCAGCTCTCAACTAGTCTTTCTTTCCTAAAGAGCCAGCATCCTAAACTCATTTGCTGCTCAATTTTGCCTTGTCTGTCCCTCTACCATCGCAGTTCACACAATTCATCCTTGGATTACTCTAGCCACATTTTAGCCAACCCATCATTAAAGAAAAGTAGTAAAAAGTTAAAAACAAAAAAAAAAAGCCCTAAAACATTAGCATAAGCTGAGAACAATCCTCTCCTTAGCAGTCTGCTTCATACTTTAACTCTGTCTGTAAGCCGCCTGTCCCACTCAACTCAATTTTTAGCAAATGATCTTCCTTTCTACACTAACAACTCTAAAAAGGAGTAATCTCCCCTCCAAAGCTAACAGTACCACTAATTACTATACTATTTCTCCACCTCATTACTCCATCTCCTTTTGGTCTTTACCTCTTTAACCATACTCTCAAATCTTTTCTCCTCCAACTAGAAATAGGTCATCTTCCTTCTAAACAAACAAGAAAGCATACCATAACACTTTCCTCAACCCTACAAACCTTCAAATGGCAAACTATGTTTTCCAATACTTTTGTAAAAAACATTTTGGAAGAGAAGTCTCTCTGGTCTCCAATCCCTCAATTCCCAATCACAACTTAATCCTTTACACAGTGGTTTGTGTACCCCTCCTCTACTGCTTTTACTAAGTAATAACACACTAAGTGTGTTATTTTATATTATACACACTATTACTTTACTAAGTAATAACACACATATTTTTCCCTATCTCCTTTTTTTGGTCTTTATTCAGCTTGATCACTACTATTGCATCTGACGTTGTCACCTATCACCTACTTCTCAAAACTCTTCTCCTTGGACTTCAGTATCACCACCTTTTCCCAGTCTGCTCCTTTCTGGCAGTCTGGCCCTCTTTCAATGGCTCTTCCATTTTTCTCCAATCTTCAGCACTGAGGGGCTACGCTGCACTTTTGGTTTCTTCATCTCATTTTAATGGACCATTTCACCAGTTCCTAAGACTTCAACTTTTCTCTGTAAACTGAAGACTCTCAACTGTGTCCCCAACCAGTGTAGGAAGTATAATATCTTCACAACCATGTGTATATAGTCACCACAACCTAAATTTAACAAATTCATTCAGAAATACCTATTCCTCTACTTTGCCTCTGCAGCATGACATCATATGAAACAGAGTACATTTTACATCTCATTTTAGTCGAATCTTCTCCGTAAAATTAATGACTATGGTAAACAACCCTATAGGACAGTGGTAGCAAACCTATGGTGTACGTGCCACTGCAGGCTGGTGGGACCACTGAAAGCTCTAAAAGGTTCACTATCACTGCCACAGGATCAAAGAGAAAATGCAGTGAAAAAATTTTTAAGCAATTTTGTAACATCACAATGGATACTGCGAACAACATCAGTAGTAAGTATTTATATATAACCTATTAAGCACTATTTATATATAACCTATTAAGCATCTACCAATGAGGAATTCTCAGTCTAAATTAAGATTAGTTCCATGGAGGCAATTATTTTACTTTTCTCTAAGCATTACCAAACACCAGCCATATGAGACATACACTCCTTTACACATGCCTGGTGAGTAATAACACACATATATTTTTATTATGATGATTATAAACACATATTAATTGTAAAAATTAATGGGTTTCACTGTGACACTTCTATACAGTGCATGTCTTTTAGGTTATGATGCTTCACAACTCATGTATTCTGATAATCACATTTATAAGTGATAGTTATAAATTATAGCATATCTGTAAGATAATTTATGCAAACATCAAAATGAGTATTATAGAATAGTCAACTGAAAACAGTACTCAAGATATATTAGTATAAAAATAAAGATTCAAAACACTTCTATTAAAAGATACACATGAGTGAACTGTGCAGCATGTGACTTACACCTTACCACTGCAGTTTCTAAAATGTAATGTGTACATATACACATACCCATTAACAAGTCTTCAAGAATAAAAGCTACCCGTGCACAGAATCAAAGGTGGTTTGTTACTTTCCTCTGTGTAGTTTTGTATTTGTTTTGATTCCCATGTTTCTGTGGTAAACTAGTATCCCCAGGAATTTTATTCCATATGAATGGTTATCACCATCACCATGTATAGTATGATCTAATACCATCTAATATTTCTTCTACTTGCTAAATCACAAAGACAACTAGTCAGTTTTGTCAAAAGCTTTCTAGTTAACTTTTACTGCACGGACTTCAACTCTTCTTTCCAAACTACTGAGATCTTTTGAATTTAATCCTCAACTAGCATAATGACAAGTACAAATATTTACTCCTCACAATTACAATTCAAAAGCACAAATCCATCTTACCTTTTTATCTGAAGTGATAAGCTTAAATGCTTCTGTTACTTGATGAACCGTGGCACCACCACCAACATCAAGGAAGTTGGCTGGTGTCCCTCCATGAAGTTTTATTATATCCATTGTGGCCATAGCCAAACCAGCACCATTTACTACAAAGAAGGAAAAATCATTTGCACAATCAACAAACAGAGAAAATAAATTAAGCTTAGTAAACTAACTCTAACATAAAAACATAAGGTACCTAGACAGCCTATATTTCCGTCAAGGCCAATGTAGTTGAGATCTGCCTTAGCTGCTTCTCTGTCCCTTTCATCTTCTTGGGTCCAGTCCTGAAGATCAAAGATTTTCTTTTGGCGATAGGCTGAATTTGAATCAAAATTGATCTTTGCATCCATACAAAGCACTTTGAAGGGAGGCAAAGAAAGTGATCTTAATGTCAAGAAAGACACAAATCATTTTTTAGGAGAAAAACATTTAATTCTGAAAGTATTTCAACTCATGTTTACAATCAATACAAATTTTCTTTATGAAGAATAGCTGAGGCATTTAAAATGCTCCAAAGTTACAGTTTCTGTATCCATACTAGGTACTAGATAAAAGAACAAGGACACGAAGAAACAAAAACACTTCAAAGACCACCACACCTGCTGAATACAGTACCTGAAACATTAGCCAGAACAATCAGACAAGAGAAAGAAATAAAAGGTATTTGTATAGGAAATAAGTCAAATTATTATTTGAAAATAACATGATACTCCACATAGAAGAGCCAAAAATGCCACCAAAAGACTCTTAGAATTAATAATCAAAGTCCTCAATATAGCAGGATACAAAATCAACAGGCAAAAATCAATAATGTTCCTGTACACCAAAGATGAACTCACTGAGAAAGACATTAAGAAAATAGTATAGTTCACAAAAGCATCAAGAGAAATTAAATACTTAGGAATTACCCTAACGAAAGAAGTAAAAGGCCTCTACAATGAAAACTACCGTAGTCTGAAAAAGGAGATAGAAGACATTACAAAACAGAAAGATACTTCCTGTTCCTGCATAGGCAGAACCAATATTGTCAAAATGGCCAGATTTCCAAAACTGTCAGAGATTTAATGCAATCTGAATCAAAACACCAACACCAGCACTCACAGAACTACAGAAAACAATCCTCAAATTCATATAGAACCAAAAGAGACCCAGAAGAGCAAAAGCAATCCTGGACAAGAACAAAGCAGGAGGCATCACAATCCTGGATTTCAAGCTGCATTACAAAACTACAGTGATTTAAAAAAAGGCATAGTACTGGCACAAAAACATATGTGGATCAATGGAACAGAACAGAGGATGCAAAAACAATCTGAGGCATATTCAACTATCTGATCTTTGACAAAGAAGGCAAAAACATACACTGGAGGAAAGACAGCCTCTTTAATAAATAGTGCCGGGAAAACTGGTTATCAACACACGGAAGATTGAATATCTCCACATCTACTAAACTAAAATCAAAATGGATTGAAGATAGTAATGATAAAGCAGAAAAAAATCTGCTAGAAGATAAAACAGGTAAAACAGGACTAATAACTATAATATAAAAAAAGAACTCAAGAAAAACAGACCCATCAAAGTAAGAGTCAATCAAAAAAATGGGCAAGTGAAATGAATAACAGACACTTCTCAGAAGTGCAAGTGGCCAGATTAAGTACACAGAGAATGTTCAATATTGCTGGCCATTAAAGAAACGCAAATTAAAACAACGCTGAGAGTCCATCCTACTCCAGAAAGAATGGCTATCACGAAGAAATCAAGTAATAAATACTAGAGGGACTGCAGGGGAAAAAGGAACCCTTCCATATTGTTGCTGGAAATGTAGTATGGAGATTCTCAAAAAAATTCTAACTAGAAGCTGGGCATGGTGGAATGAAAAAAGAATTGAGATTACATACATGTACCAACTCCCCACAGGGAATGTAATCAGTATGTACGGCTGCAAACATGTATTACTAATAAAAAATAAAAATTGAAAAGAAAATTGTTAAACTTTCCAAGAACTAATTGTCCCTATTTCTAGCTAAGTAATCCTGAGTCTCATTCTTTCACTCCACTCCAGGACACTGCCCCAACAATTCTGTCTTTGCCCAATTACAAATTCCCTCCCACTGCTTTTCTAGGGGAGAAAAATCCCTCTGACTTGCAAATCCCACTGACTTGCAAAAATACTGTTATTTCTCCACCTTAAAAAAAAAAAAAAAAAATCATTTAACTCCACCTCTTCCTTACTCTTTGCTTCCTAAACAACAGAACTCTGGAAGATTTATCTATTTAAAAGCATCAGCAAACTGGCCCAGGGGCCAGGTTTGATCTGTGTCTGTTTTTTATTATGGCCTGTAAGCTAAGAATGGATTTTACATTTTTAAAGAGCTGTGGAAAACAAAAAAGTGAAGAAAAAGAAATACAAAAATAAGCAATAAAACCAAAGATCATATGTGGCCCAGAAAGCCTAAAATAATTAACTACCAACCCATGTGCTTAAAAGCCATGAACCAAGCCTTTTCTCCTGGCAATCTTTTATACCCACTGCCATCAACTTCTACCTGGACCAAAATGGTTTTTATTAAGTTGTGTCTATGAGTACATTTTTCAGTACTTTTTCCCTGCCAATCTCACCACCTCCTTATAGTTCCTGAACACAAATATGGCTGCAAGACATGAGCTCAAGGGTCACAATGTGGAAACTTGGACCACAGCAGTGATTCCCAAATGAGGGTAGTTTAGTGCCACAGGGGGCACCTCACAATGTCTGGAGGCATTTACAGAGGCTGCAACTGAAGATTACTATTGGCACCTGAGTGCTACTAAAAAACTTCTGTTACACATCTAAAATTGTTGGTATTTTTAAAATATAGCATCAAAGGAAAATTGCAAGAACAGTACAAAGGGTCGTATGTACCTTTCACCCTGCGATGACATATGACACAGCTGTATATATCCAAATAGTTATTGGTCAGTTTTCACTATTTTTTAAAAAAATTTTTGCTCTTGGGGCTGGGGATTTAGCTCAGCGGCACAGTGCCTGCCTGGCAAGCGCAAGGTCGTGAGTTTGATTCCTGGTACCGGAAGAAAAAACAAAGCAAAAAAAAAGAATTTTTTTTGCTCTTTTAAATTTTAGTTTATTAGTACTGTTTGTACTCCTTGTAGGAAGTTGGTACATGTACACAACACATCTCACTTTCTTTTTTCATCCCTTATCCCTTTCCTCACTTCCCCCTTCCTCCATTTCTTGATTCCCTTCCCCTCTGAGAACGATGTATCTCTCTCCTTCCTATTATCTTTTATTTTGCTCTTTATTTTTAATCTGGGTTTCTCATATAAGACAAACAGTTTTCACCATTTTTAAAAATCTGCAATCATTTGTATACACAGGCATATGTATGTATGTGTAATTTTATCCCATACATTGATTTACACACACTCATGACATAAAACTATTCCATCATCACAGAAGATTGCTCTCCTCTACCTCTTTGTATTCACATCCTTACCCCTATTATTTCCTACTTCATCTCTGTGCCCTAGAAGCCAGTCTGTTCTCCATCCTCTACGGTTTTTTTATTTTGAGAATGTTACATAAATGCAGTCCTGCAATATATACTACTTTGAGTTTGGTTGTTTTACTACACATAATGCCTTTGAGATCCAACTAGGTTGTTCTATATGTCAACAGTTTATCCCTTTTTAATGCAGAGTAGCATTCCAATGTGTAGATACGTTATGGCTTGTGTCTAGGTGCCCCCCAACCCGCCAAGCCTCATGTGGTCATAGGTGAAGCCTTTTCAAAGGTGGCTGGATCTAGAGGATGTGCTGCTGGGATTCTGGTTTGACACAATTCTGGGTGTGGATAATGGGAAGGCCATTATCCTTGGGTGTGAGTGTAACCTACCCTAACTGCATGTAGCCTGGACAGAACATAAGGGACAGGAAGAGAGCTGCTGCTGTGGCTACTTCACTGCTTGTTGCCCTACAGGCTTCTGCCTGCCATGAACTGTTTCTCTTCTGCCACGTCATCCTGCCTTAGAGCCAGCCAACTATGAACTGAAACCTGTACAAACTATGAGCTACAATAAACGTTTCCTCCTTAAACTTTGGGTGTTGAGTATTTTGTCTCAGCAATGACAAAAATAACTAAGACAATATAGTTACATTTTCTCAACCATTCACCCTTTGAAAAATATTTGGGTTTCTTTCAATATTCTACTAGTACTATGAAGCTATGGCATATAGTCCTGTATACATTTTGTATGACCAAAGTTCCCCCTTTGTCCTTTTGATATGTCACTGTTATTCTCTTTAGTATTTCTCCACTTTATATGCAACAAAATGCTGTAGGCTTTTTCATGTTCTTTCTCATAGTTCAGGAATCAGCCTTTTCTCCAAAGGATCCTTGTTCCTTTTAGTGGAAAATGATATTTAGGCACTAAAATATGTATACTACTCACAGTCATTGCTATAAATGTCATTGCTTCTGGGGCTTCTCAGCAAACAAAGCCTAAAAGTATATGTGTATGTATAAACATACATAAAAAGGCACATTTGTCTATCTCTATTTTTTAAAGTCTCCAAATGTATGCTGATAACCTCTAAATCTACTCTAATTTGTGAAGATCCACTAAAGTTCTACATTTTGTAGAACTTCTCCAACATTTATAAATCTGATGGCTTTTTTTCATATTGCTCCATATCAGGGCATAGATTATGTTGATTTATGCCAATGTTGATAATGTTAACTCGGATTACTTGGTTAAGGTAGTATCAACCAGGCTTCTCTACCACAGAATAATTATTTCTCCTTTTGTAATTATTAGAAAATTTGGGAAAAATCAGGGAAATATTTTAAGACTATGTTCCTCACCAAACTTTTACCCATCAGTTTGACATCTGTAAATGATTTTCTAACTGCATCATTCCTCTATATTCATTATTTGCCATTGTAAAGAAAATTTGTTTCAGAACAGGTTGTTCATTTCTCTCATTGTTCAATGAGTTATAATCTGTTTTTATGCTATCTAAAAGGCTGATACAGGAGGATTGCTTGAACCTGGAAGTTTGAGGCTAGCCTGGGCAACACAGAAGACTGTTGGGAAAAAAACTGTTATTACCATTTCTTAATTTTTAGCTTAAACTATCTCATATTTGTCCAGTAGAGAACCCAAATTGAAGTGATTCTACAAAATAAATGATCCCTTCTCTTAAAAAAAAAGATTCAAGGTCAAGCCAAATGGACATGACAACTAAATTCAATGTGGGATCCTGGACTACGATCCTAGATCAGGATAAAAGGTATAAAGGGACATTACTAGGATACCTGCCCGCATTTGAGTGTGTACTGTGGAAGAGATAACAATATTTTGT